TTCCTAATTTAAGTAAACGACCTTCCTCAGTAAGTATCGTCTGATTTCTTACTTTTCACTGATGAAGTGAAACATTGGAGATAAGTTTGGAGCTAAGATGCCAAGCTGGTATTTCAGGTGTATATGAATTGAATTTAAAGTTGGGAGGGCAACAACGGGCTGACCTTTAACACTCCAAAGTGTAAAGTAGTCCATTTGAGACATATTGCAGAGTACGAATACAACCAAGGTAACTCCCCTCTAGAGGTATCCCTAGTTGAAAAAGATCTAAGGGTATTGTTACCCTATTATCAGAAGCCTTACACTGAATGCAACACAAATGCCTTTCGAGCAAACCTCGCACCGGTATCCATGAAGTGCGCTTTTGGCCACTTCGATGGAAGAACTTTTTATTTAATCTTCAAGAGTTTTATTCGACCCCAATTGCAGTATGGAAATATAGCGTTTCTTCTCTCACATCGGACGGATAAGAATACATGGCAACGTGTCGAAAGGCGAGCGATGAAATCGAATTTAGGCTTTAAGAAAAGCGCTTCAAATCACTGAAAGTTTACTCATTAGAGTATGGGAATCTCAAAGGTGACTTTCAAATGACTTGTAGACTTCTAAACAATTCCGGGTATGCTCTTACAAACTTACTTAAGCTCAGTCTCAACACAAAGGTTTCGAGATAACAACCAGAAACTGGAGACACAACATAGCAGAACGAACTGTATAAACACCTTGTTCTCCTTAAGCCTAGTCAAACTTTAGAAGTCGCTACCGGCTGAGCTAGTCTAGGCGACTTCTCAGGATTCCTTTGACAGGAAACTTGACATATTTCTCAGAATTAAAAAGATGTCTCTCTATGACCCAATCCACCTATTTCGGGGAAAATTTTGTCCGGTTTGGGTAAATTTCGCGGAAAACTTTTGGAGAATCGCACGAAAGCTTTAAGATTTCCCCAGGTCTGGGGAAAATCTCCGAAATACTTGAGAAAATCTTGAGTTTTCCCTAATATTTCCACAAACCTTGGGGAAAACTACCATATTTCTTACGACTTTGTGGAAAATTCTAAAATTTTCCCGAGGTTCCCAAAAATTTACTTAAGATGGTGAGATTGAGAAGTTACAAATATTTTTTCTCTCTTTTGTCGTTAAATATACTTAGGCTTCTAACTGGAGGCATTGGCGATCTATTGCTACTAAATACTACTAGATAAGCGAAAGCTTCTATTCCGTCCAAAACTATTTGAACAACTGAGGCGTAGTTACCGCTTGATGCAAAAATTCAAAATATTTGATTACGCTGTCCAGAATCGTCTTTAGATTTTCGGAATAATTATAGTTTGAAATTGCTACTTAGGTCAGTCAGTCAGCAACAACGTAGAACTTCGTACGTACGTACATCAGTTCGAGTTGCCACACCACATTAGCACACAGATGTAGTGGTTGACTCAAATCCCGTAGTGGTAGAGGTAATAAGAGTATAAGCAGTAATCGGGAAAATTAGTGTTTGGAGATGTTATTTAAAGAGTATAATACAGTGAAATAAATTTGGGAAGAGAAAACAAGAGACAAGGAGGAATAAGGAGATCAAAATTTGGGAGGGCACAAAGAGTGGATGCACCTGCGCCATTGCAAACGATTTTGAGCCATGTCATTCAGGGTCTCTAACCATCGGTTGCTGTCATCTCGCGGTCCCCAACCAGGTAGTCTACACCTACCAACGTGACCCAGTCCACTTGTCAGTGACTTCATGGACTTGTGCCATGTTTTGGTCTGGCCTCCCCTAGCTTTCTTCCAACCTACTCCTATACCACTGAACATAGCACGTCGAGGCAGTCGGTCGTTGGGCATATGTAACACGTGTCCCAGCCATCTCAACTGATGAAGTTTCACTACGTCATCAATTGATTTGCTACTTAAGTATTACTCACTATGGTTATAAATTGCTTGGTACAATTTTGAGCTGAGGTATTTCATCAAAATTAAGATGATTTTATAGCGGCGAGTCACATACCATATTTGTCAACAATCATGTATGAATAGTACGATCTCGTTAACCCTCTCAATCTACCTATTTTAGGGAAACCTTAGGGAATTTCGGGGTTCTCCCCAAAGTCATAATAACCTTGGTAGTTTTCCTGAAAGTTTGAGGGAATTTTAGGGAAAAACTCAAAAGGTTATAAGATTCTGTGGAAATCTAAAGATTTCCCTAGACACTTTAGAGATTTCCCCCTAACCTGGGGAAATTTTTGGGTTTTTGTGGCATTTTCCCATAGTTTTCTGTGGCGGATTCCCCGAAATTCACCCAACCCGGACAAAGTTTTAACAGAACTAAGGAGATCGAGTTGGTCCATAGATTATATTACCGTCTAGCTCCTAAAGGATAAACAATTATATTGGGCCCATTATAACTTGTATTAGGACGATCAATAAATGGACTAGAATGAAGTTAACCTGAGTTGTAATACCATGAAATAACGTAAAAGTTTATTGGACTAGTTTAATTTGAGTTGGGCTGTGTTGAGGTATAGTGAACTGAAGTTGTTCCTGTGTACCACCAATTATAATTGTTCAGGGAAAGCAATGCAGTTAGTTAGACAGGAAGTGATAAGTATGAAGGTAAATAGATTAGAATTCGTGATCAATCATTTTACCATGCCGGAGAAAATCACTATAATTGAATTTTTACTTTTGATAGTCACATGAATAGACTGGACTTATGTAGCCTAAAATAGTATATTAATGTATGATCCTATCATGTAAAGATCAACAACCAAATCTTCCCTTTGCTAAACTGTCTTCTCATTAGTAATTTCTGTTTTCCCAGATGTATACGATAATATATATGAAATGGCGCTGTCCTATCTCATTTGATGAAACTAGTTATACGACAAATTGAGTTGTAAATAAAAACATATTAGATGGATATATATGGGTACTTGAATCTGATAATGGTGATGTAAAAAATTCATCATCATCACAATCACCAAATATCACTCATTTATTAAATGGATTAAATCTATGTACGTCATGAAGGGAAGGTTTCGTATTTTTAATTGTCATTTTGATACATACCAGATCTTCTTTACCATAGGTTACTCTGTTCTAAACAAACCATCATTAAGATTATCAAATATTATCCAGAGCATGACGTATTGGTAGTTAAGATAGACATGCCATTCTGGGATCATAATCTCTGTATTAGCTTCTTGACATTTAACATAATCGGAATTTGATCTGTGAGTATCTTTTACTTCGATAATTGTCGTTTTTGAATACTCGTGCTTACTACGCTAATTAGAATAAATGGTGTTATTGACTGTTATATATGTTATGAGAAATTATGAGTCTGTCCAAAACTTACTTCAGTAGCTATAAAAAAAACCAACACACTGTGAACATTTCATACACATAGTTCCCTTTATTATTTTAAAGAGAACAACAACAAAGACTGGTGCAGAATAATATGAATTCATTTTATTTCGTTAGGTTCTCATCAGCTGCTTACAACCTAAATTATTTAAAATTCAACATTAATACAGATATTGACATATTTATATATAAGAGTGTGATTAAGGATCAATACATGTGTATCATGATGTAGTAAAGATTCAGATAGAGTTAATGAGCTCATAAAATGTTTGATTCGAATAAATAAATAAAGTTAGAGAGGGAAAGTTCCAGAACATTGAGATAGTGATTAGAACTCATGAAAATAGATTAATGGTAATAAAGAAAATATGAATTGAAATCAATCAGTTATGTATGATGTAATTTAAAAGAGTTGGAGTAATGACGCAATAAATAACCTTACAAACATCAATCCCTGAATAACAGCACTATAAATGCATGTAATGTCCCAGAGATTTAATCGCTCAAAGACCTCTTGTTTACTATGCTTGTTTAAGCTTACTAGTTAAGATTTGTCATGCATCTAATAGTGCTTTAGAGGAAGAATTATTTGTCATTTACTATCATTGCTAAGAAAATGAAAAAAAACTTCATTTTAAAACAGAAATGTGCTGTCCCGAATCACTGTTGAACTTAGATGTCATTATGTGTGAGTGTGGTACAAGAATACATGTAGACTGAAGCTTTTTCAGTTTCTGATTGCCGTGAAACTACTTAATACATCATTTATAATTTTATACGGAGTTTAAGCAGACAAAGAACTTTTCCAGTTTACGAGAGTTACAATAAAACTGAAAATTAACGGCCTCTCACTATTTGATGGTGATAATACCCTGAATGCATCAGACAGAGATTATTAAGGTATGATTTTGAACGTTACTGATTAGCTTTAGAGGTTGTACGAAAAATCAAAAGCTTAAGGATTGTTTTGCTTTGACAATATTTATCAGAATACGCAAAAAAGCTTTGTTACAAAATTTGTGTTAATGATTTACCATCCTCTTGTAAACCTTTACGCAAATTTTGAGATAACAAGGGTATAAAGTCAGGTTCTCAAACAGTTTCAAGTCACCTTATATTTTGAATGCGCAGTATAATTAATAGGGCTTATGAAACGGAACAGTGAGTTCATATCCTGCCTTTCTTCTCTAGTTTATATTAATGAAAAGGCTGTTAGCTTTTACTCGGAATTTATTAGTGATCTCTGGCAAATAGCATAAGTTCCAACCACCATTTTATATCACAACAAAACCCAGAAACTTTTCAGATGATCCTTTTTAAACCAGACTTTGATAGAAACAGCTACAAAGCCTTCATAAAGAGCTCTGGATAAATCATGTAAGCTTACGTCTGGTTTTAGGGAGTGTTTTATCTATTTAGTGGGACTACCTGGGCTTTTTAATTGGGGCTAAAGTTAGTTTACGACATTTTAAGAACTAGAAACTTTAGTTGGTTGGTAGCACTGAAAAATGACGAAACTAACTACTAATTTCTAAAATATAAGGGATCACTCAGTCACATTATGAAATGCACCGTATACAAAAAGAGATACCGTAAATAAATTCACGGTTTTTATGGTTTTTATTCTCCACAGAATTCAACATGTCTGACAGTAGCAATAATAAGATTCCTAACTATGTACATCAGGCTGTTATTATGAGCGAAACTATTAAAAAAGAGTTGAGACATCAAAAAATATTCACAGAATACAGTATCAATCCTTTTAAGAAAAGTAAGATTTCACATATTTTATAATTTGCTAGTGTATCCCTTAGCTGATAAACCAAATAGAATACAAGAAGCTGATGCTGAAGACAGTAAGTTTTTGAATAACTTTAAATGGTTCAAATGATTCATAAAAACTAAAAATGTAACCATAAGATACCGGTATATTCAGTTAATAGAGAGTACCTTGTGTTCATGGTCATACTGTTCTATTCGTATTTTAATGTTTCTTTCGGTTAGTATACTTAATAGGTTTAGTTAAGTGGATTCCAGCGATCCTAGTACAGAACTCATAGGATATCGAATCCCGATACTTCGTAAACACCAAACAGATAATTACCAAGGAAAAACAATAAACATTTAGGTGGAAGGATACATTTGTGTCATGATTGATGTTAGTGAAGGTAGAATGGTTTAGGTGACAAGAAAAGGGTGGTAAACGAGAAACATAGCGTTTACCTCTGGGTAATGAAGAATGTAAGTGCTTGACCGCATCTTCAGTTACTTTGGCCTATTGAAATCACACCAAATCGGTGTCAGGTGTTAAATACATGCTGAACTGTTTACTTTAGGGAAGTATCTAATGCTGCAAATATATATTAACTCAGGACTAGTATTAGATATTTATGATCCTGACACCGGTAGTATACTCAATCACCTTTTAAAGCCAAACATCTGGAAAACTAACACTGGAGAAAATTATTACAGCTTCCACCCTATATGATGTCACTTAAGAGCTTTTTTCAGACATAACGTCAAGTTTTAGGAAGAAAAGGATTCAGCGTTTTGGATGAAACGTGGTTTAAATCCATTGTCCCCCTTGGGAAACAAATTGGGTCCTGTTTGTATTTAAGTAACTTCTGGACAAAACAAATGTTTTAATGTTGAAAGTCACACTTTAGCTATATAGACTTATAGATCAGTGATTTTTAAAAATTAAGAATGACGGACAGTCTCACCTTGAAGCATAACTGATATTCTGTAACCCTTAAAACGTTATACATCTGTACTAAAGAACGTAGACTTTGTTTACTTATATTGTATCTTCTAAAAATACTTAGAAAAGTTTATTCGTGGTTAGTTCCTAATTTTACTCTCGAAAAATCTTTGTGAAGCTCAACTTTAAAACCGATTCCAGATTTATTTTAGACTGAATAACAACTCTTCAGAAAGGATAACAGACCTTAATTTATTATATATTGTAATAGCTGTCATCTTTTGGTGGTTTTTAACAGTCTTTATGTTTTTTTTGTGACTTGTATCACTTCAGATACTGTATTATTTTAATTAGTTATGCCCTAGTCTTCCAAAAAAGTCAATATACTACTTTTTCAAAATTATTAATTAATGATTTACTTTGATATTTATGATCGATGTGATAAATCCCAATGGAATTTTGATCAGACACAGGTTTTGTGCTATCGCTTGACTTTCAGTCTTGTAAAGTGCAAAGTTATTTTTTAGTTAATATAAAAACATATCCCCCATATATGCTCTCCTATCTAATTATTTGTTGTAATGTAGGATTAATATTTTAAAATTATATCAGAAAACTTGTTATAAATACCCACATGATGAATGAAAAATGTGGTTCATCTATAAGTAATGTAAATGACTGGTTGGCGGTTCGCTTACGTATTCGGTGGATGCTATTCTCCTGAAGAAACTAATGTAAAGGCACTAATTAAAAAAAGCGATCCTAATCAGAGTTATCGCGATAACTGTGTTGGGTTATACTTAAGGTAGTTTTACAATAGGTATGTATGTGCTATTCACTAAAACTTTTATACAACTTGATCAAGTGTACACTTGGTGTTAAACTAATTACACTTAAAAATGTAGGAGTTTGTAAAGGTAGTTATGGATGTGGCAAAACCTAAATTATAAAACCCCTCTATCGATGTTTCCATTTAAAGATGAAATTGTTTACATGACCCATTTTACGATCTATTTTTTTCATGATTAACTGTTTGTTAAACCGAAACTGATGATACCTTCTGGTGTTTCATACTCTTGGTAAACGACCAAACCGTAACTCAGAAACCAGCATAAACCATTTTTTTAGTGAGAAATTGCGGCTAAATACTCATTGATGGATATTTTATTTATTTGCCAAACATATTTCCAGAACACTTTGCGAACGTTATACAACGCGCTTCTTTGGAACCACCCAAAAAATATATCGAACCTCAAACAGAAAATCAGGAATATGGTTGGATAAGTCAGCCACTAGTAAGTCATCATTCCTGTATTTACGGTTATATGAACGTGTGAAAAGTTTTCTTTCGAATTTAAATAACTTTGCGAATTACTTGAATTCACAGAGCACTTTGTGCAGTTTTAATTTTAATCATGAACTTCTCTCTCCAGATTCTTGTTCGCCTACATTATTAAAGCACTGAGGTCACCCGGGAAAATCCCTACTATTAAGTAATCAATTGATGATCTAGTCATCAACGTTTTATAATGTTACGAAATTTAAAACAGTTAGTCTCTTTGATAAATTCCGATAATGCAATGAGAAGACGAAGGTTATCAGGTTTATGTGATTTGTTTGCTCAATACATTTTGGACAACTTGATCACGCATATACTTGTTAAGACCTTTTATATGAAAATTAAAGATCAACTAGACAAATTAAAAGATAAGTGGCAACAAAGATAATAATAAAGTACACATAAGTAATGTGAAAACCACGCTGGATAATAAATCAGCATTATCAAGGTAGGTTAAGTGTAAGATCGAATTGTTTTTGAACACATAAAAGGAGTTTCAGTTTCTGTATAGCTGAGGCTTCAATTTACTGCAAACGTGGATTAATAAAGGGCTTATTCCATAGGATCAATGATATTTTTACTGGTAATGCTATTGAAGTAGACATAGCTCTTAACTGAAACATTAATGAATACCAGTTATTCATTGAAGTTTATAAACTGTTATAAAGGTTTCAATACGATGTGATCTATGACGCTTCTGGAACCCAGAAAGCGATTCTATATCATGTTACCATTTAGAGGTTACTCAAATAGTCTCATGGTGGAACGGAAACTTAAATTAGCTATCAATAGGACATTTTATGCAACCCAACTCGTCATTTTTGCAAAGACAAGGTCTATTTCTCACCAAAAACCCAAACGGCACGTAAGTGATAGTGTCAAATCCCCTTGTGCCTGTAAATTTAAATGTATGTACCGAAACACGTACATAGGGAGGAGCAATCGTGATTTGCAAGTAAGGGTAGCTGAACACATACCTGAATGGCTGCAAAAACAAACGAATTCCAATGGTCAAACGAGATCGCAGGATTGACAAACATCTCCATCCATCGCGAAACATTTAGTTGAGACCGATTATAAGGTTTATATGAAGTCAGCCTTTGTAGTCATGTACAAAAGCCTTCAAGGGCCTATACTAAGGTTTATTGAAGCCTCGGCTATACAGAAACTGAAACTCCTTTTATGTGTTCAAAAACAATTCGATCTTACACTTAACCTACCTTGATAATGCTGATTTATTATCCAGCGTGGTTTTCACATTACTTATGTGTACTTTATTATTATCTTTGTTGCCACTTATCTTTTAATTTGTCTAGTTGATCTTTAATTTTCATATAAAAGGTCTTAACAAGTATATGCGTGATCAAGTTGTCCAAAATGTATTGAGCAAACAAATCACATAAACCTGATAACCTTCGTCTTCTCATTGCATTTTCGAAATGTCATGATATTTAGACAATTCAATGGTCTACCTTCAGTGTCATTGGACGGCAACTTGAACTGTTACCTTAGTTTACCTTATTGATTATATGATGGAGTTAGAGAAATTTCACTATCGAAAATCAGTAATAGAGGGGCTCAGAACGTGTTGTTCACTTTCTAACGCTCTGTATTTCTTTCTCTAATGTTTTTAGTCATGGTGCTTATTTTCCACATGAGGTTTTTATTTATTTATTTATTTATGTTGTTGTTGTTTTAGATGGAAATAGACAGGAGTGATCCAAGGTTTTATCATCCTAAAGTTGCTTGTGAAATGACGAAATTTATGGATGCGTATTGGAAACTAAATGAACAGCGTAAATTAAATTCATGAGTCTTAGGGATAAATGAATAATACCTGATGCATTAAAAATACAATATTGTAAAACCTGAAAATAATTTCATCATAAATATTGTCTGATATCTTTCTATTTTTCGTTTAATATATATAGTTTTAGAATGGATTTATTCTTGTAAAATCCAATTGTTATTATTTTTATGTGGAATAAACAAACGTATTTTCATATTTAGTGAGGTGAGTTGTTTTGAAATATAATAATTATTTTAGTAATAAATTAGTCTTACATTTGTTTGTGCAGTGAATAACACGACTAAATTTTCAATAGAATCTTTCAGAGCCACTATACGAGAATAATCTGAAGACTACATATACAGAAATCAGTCACTAGTTAAATTGGGTCATAATATAAATTTCATTAGTTACCTAGGTCGTCCGGTCAAGGAACTCTATATATGCATAGTATGTGTAGAGTGTCGTTATCTAGTTGTGTTATTATTAGAATTAGACTGCCATTTAACCAAAAGATGTAGAAATCGATGATAACTAGAGCATAAAATATCTGATGTTTTGTGATTGATTTTGATATATATTTAGTTCTTCAGCGGTTTAGGCGAAGTTGAATCCAAACAGATGTTAACTGCTAAGCTGAAAGATGAGGTTTCGGATCCTAGAGGAAAATTCTATTAAAATAAGGAAGATTGGTTCAGCGAAGAGTTCTCTTTTTGGTGAATTCATTTTCAAAGCTGTACAATCACAAACGTATATATATGTATATACTTATTTTTCAGGATGATAATAATTACAATAATAGTGTTAATAAGATTTTGTCAAACATGATAACAGTGAGTTAGAATAAACAAAGGCAATAAAAAAATTATTTCTTTAGTCAAGGAAACTAATAATAGTTTTATTGTTAAGGCCTTAAACATTCATCATGAAGATAGATAGGGAAGTTATAATTAAGACGGATGGTTTAGCATGATAAGATAAAATGTTGAAATTGAAATGAAATGTAATTAGGAGGATTATAGAAACAGAAATAAACCAGTTGGGAGCAGAAGGTCTATGGAGAAGATGGAAGGGGAAGCAGATGTTTGTAGAGGAAGAAAAGTATGAAGAAGAAAGAGAATTATGAAACATTAAAACGATGGCAGAAGAAGAGGTTGTACCAGTCTCTTTTGCACATACAATTCTGGTTTTCCCAGATGTATAGCTATTGCTTCGACACTGTTAAGAGGATGTAATCTAATTGTCTTTGGAAGACTTCTACTTGCCCTGTATATGACTTTGAATGCAGAGTCTGCTTTGGTTGAGTGGCCTGTGTTCACAAGATGTTCAATTAATGAGCTTTTTGTTGAGCCGTTTCTGCCTCTTTTTATCCACTCAGGATGATGTTCTTGTATTCTTTTGAATAAAATATCGTCGAACTGTGGTGTATGCTACTTATATCGGCAGACATAAGTAGTATGTAACACGAAACAAAGGTGGAAAACCTGGCCGCAGGAAGCAATGAAGGTTGACTTGAAGAAAACAGAAACGGAATTAGAAAGGAATTGTGAATCGGACAAATCTTACAGGATATGGAAGACAAGTGAGGGAAATTCGTAAATAAAATAATTAATGTATGGTTCTCATATTTTACCAAAACATTCCGTAATTTCATATTGAAACTCGTTGGATTATCCCCGTCTGAGTGTTCGTTTATCACGGAACGACTAATATGCCTGGCTCCTCATGAGCAGGTAAGTTGCTAGATGCATATAGAGTTCGTCAGACGAGACTATTTACCTTTAAGATAACTGAAGAACAATGACAGGCTGGGGAACACTATTTGCAACGTTGCCGCGAGGAACGACCTTTTATAAAGAGTCAGAAATTCTCTTCGTTAGGATGTTTGTAGTTCTATCACCCTTAAAATCGATGTTCACGTAAAGTGTTTTCTTTTCGACCGACGTTATTTGTATTTTAGGCGGTTTAGGTTTTAAGTTCTTGTCAATAAATATCGAAGGATACCAGTTTTTGAAAAGTATTTTGATATATCTTGTTGTTTGAATGCTACTTCTTATATTTGATCATCACTAATTGTTGTGTCGGAAAAGCTTATCACGTATTCTTGTAAAGCGAGGAACCACTGCAATTCTCACGACGTGAAAGTAAGAACACATCCCTAATGCATTTATACACGCAGTGATTGTGGTGAAGAGATCCGCATACTGCTACCATTAGAATCAATACATAAATTTGGAAATTTATTTGAGGATCTGGAGTCAAATAAAATTAGTTTGGGCATTTCAAGTTTTAGTGTATCTGTCACAACAATGGAAGAAGTATTCTTTCAGTATGTGGTTTTACTTGTAGTCTACTGTTACTGTTTCCTTGTTAACCCATCACATTTTGTAAAATAGTATAGGTTAACTCCACTTCAAGAACTCTCCGTCGAATTCATTCAAAGTTGGAAAATGAATAGTTTTACCCTGTGAAAAACATATGTCACTCTTAAAGCTGGAATTTTGAAACCATTTGGAAATTATTTCATATATTAGCGAACAGACTTACCTCGTTCCATCGTATGCAGACCAAAAAAACATTCCAGGCATCCACACTTACATTAGCCGTCAGATGATATTGTAGTTCTCCCAAATATCATCCTATGTAGACAATCACATAAAGGGAAGTCGATAAGACAATCTCGATACATGTCATCAATGTGTTTACCGATAGTTTTATCCCTTCCTATACTTATCATATTTTTAATCTACAATAAATATTAAACAACCATTTATTTAATCAACTAAGCTATGAACTGTTTACTGTGTCCTTTTATACTGCCTGCAGACACATGTAATGTAAGCAGAAAGTGAGACAGTAGAAGCCTTTTTAGTTACTTATTCATTTAAATCGTCACTTTTTCTGATAATATCCGTATAATAGGTTGATTACACTAGTTGTCAGACTGCTAAATAACAAAGCCTTATCAGCCAGTTGGTTATAGTTAGTGTACGACCTGATGCGAAAAGTGTATCAGTTCAAGTTTACGTATCCCATATGAACAGAGTGATGAAGGAAATTGATATGACTTCTCGATTGAACGCTAATTTTTATATCTGATTATTATGTCAGAATCACTTATCACTGATTCTTGTGAAGCGAGGAACCACTGCAATTCCCACGACATGAAAGTAAGAACACAAAGACTGATACATGTGATGATTTATTAACCCCAAAACACGATAACGTCTACGACTCTAGTCAAAAGTACACTCATTTATATATTGAATGTACACCCATTTTGATTAATAATTAGGGTGAAATCACGTGTATGAAAAACACTTCTCATTCTACATGTCATACTAAGCATAGTTCATGTCAATTTCTAATATAAGAATATCGTATATTATACAGAATAAAATATCATACGAGAAAAGAAAACAAATATTACATTTAATAATCATCACATCAAATCAAAACGGAAATAATGTTGAACAAAACTCACAATGAGTAAATCAATCGAATTTTGACTTTTCTTCCGGTCATATCATATTTCGTCCAAGAGGCTCAACTCGTCATCTATGACCTCGGGACTACAAATTCGTATTCGCGTAGCGAGTGATATTATTAGGTTTCGCTTTCGACTACTGGGGACTCAGCTGTGGAAGCTTGATAGTTGTCTATTCTACAAAGACTTTTTGTAAATAGATCTTTTTAGAATTCCATCGCGTTTTCTTGTCATTTCCATATCGAGAAAGTGAATATTTTGTTTGTTTTCAACTTCAAGTGTGGAATTCATTGCTGGGTGACAGTTATTAAATGTCTTTATAAGATGACTTAACTCATATTTGTTGTCACAGATGATAAAAATCTCAACCGCATACCTTTAATACAAATGCAAGTTGTCGATAATTATTTGTTTTCTAGACTGTCCATGAAGGAATCTGATAGTAATGGACCAAGAGGGGATCTCATTGCTATGTCATCTTTTTGCCTATGAATTTCGTCGTTCAATGTAAACTGTACATTGCAAGTGCAACGTAGTAGTAGTTCCTTCAAATAAGCTTTCGGTATTCTTGTATTAATCTCACTATTTTTTATGTGTTTGCAAATAAAACTAGTCTCTCTGAATGGAACATCAGTAAATAGTGATTCGATATCAAGGGAAAGGTTAATTTTGTCATTTACATTCACTTTTTTTATGTAGTCAATGAGTCCAAAAGTGTCATGTATGGAGTGTATACAAATCCGGGTTCTAGGAGATCTGCCAGCTGCTCTTCTATAGAGTGGTAAGGGGATCTGGAAATATCAAGAATTGGTTGGAGGGGTAGGTCAGGTTTGTGTATTTTAGGTAAACCACATAGTTGTGCTATTATTGGTCCTGTTGGTTTTATGCGCTGAAAGACCTGTTCCTTGATTGACAGATCATTTTTCATCATCTTAAGAACTTCAATCAGTTGCTTTTTTATCATTTTAATTTTGTTCTTCTCGTTGATTGGCTTAGAGAATTTTCCTACTTAAAGTTGAACACAAACTCTTCCCGTATGTGTCTTAAATCATAAAACATAAGTTCATAACATTTTGCCTGATGACTGGATAATGAAGAAGTAGGACAATTATCTGAACTCGTTTAACTGGTATATAGATGGATGATTCACAGGTATTTTCTGTAACAAGAAATATAATTCTTAGTTTTTTGACTGGAAGTCTTACTATTAATAGCAACTAAGTCTTAGATAAAGAGTCCAAATTATTTCCTCGAACTTAAGAGTTATTACGCTCAATCTAAAGTACGTTGGATCCATAAAGCAGATGTCTAACTTTTATTATTGATGGGACTGATTAATAAAGTACAAACTTGTTTATGAAATGTCTAAGAGATATTCAGTAGTTCACATAGAGTTCCTGAGAAAATTCTTCAACGATAAATGAGTAGAATTTAATGGATGATATTTGATAAATACGTGGATTTCTGAGCCTAATAGCCCTTGGAATGTTAGCTTAATAACCTGATGTTGTAGTGAACAGGATATAAGTGTTTTCAG